CCTTGAATACTGTTGATGATTAAGCTCTTAAAAAGTTAGTGCAGTTGATGACCTCTACATCTCTGGTCAGTGATTAGGGCCGCAGCGTATTAAATGCGGAAAAGACTAAAACAATGACAATTTCAAAGAACTGGGGGGGAAAAAAAAAACAGACGGCAAGGAATTTCTTTTGTGGCCAGAACATAAATGTTGGGTTCCCATTACTCCCACAGTGCCTCTTCCAGTAAGGAAGGAAGTTTCTCTAGTTCTACCCCTACGGGTCCACCGAGAGTTGAAATTGGCTTAAGCCACAGCTACCACCAAGAGGCAATGCTATGGTTACACTTCCTCCCCTGCACGCAGTTTCTGTTGTCGTCCCCCCACCCCCCCCCAGCACAACTTCTCAAGCAGGCGCGCGATGAACCAGCCCGGGGAACTGATCAATAATAACATTAAAAATTCTTTTCCTTTCCTAGGCTGGCTTTGCTATGAGTAAGTCCTGGCTCACTGCACAGCTGTACGAACGCTTATGCCGACACACGGGACGTGGTGCCAGAGGATAGGAACAAATGGCCGGAGAAAGGGAGGCTCGGCCTCCCTCTTCCAGGGATGCTGAAACTGCTCAGGAAACTACAGCTCCTCCATTCCTCCGCTGCTGCGGACACGGGGAGCAGGAACGGGTGCAACTGTGTCTGAGGGTGACAGAGCACGCTGGCCCCGCGGCTTTCTTCCGCTTTGTTCCCGAACAGATGGAGCTGACTCAGATTTTTTGATGCTTGTACTTAGTTTGTCATTAGAAGACACAGTCATTTACTGCTCTGCGTGTGGGGTGACTATCCACAGGGCTGAAATTGCCTTTCCTTGCATTTCATCTGCATTATGATTTTCAATGGCCGTCTGACTTTGTCTGCTTTGGGGGTGCTGGTTTCACTCTGTGAGGAAGAGTTAAAACAGACCGCTCATCTTCTTTACAGTGGTTTTAGGTTTGGTCTTTTAACCTTCAGACTTTCCAAACTGAGCAAGTACGCTCTGCTGGTGAAGAGCATGATGAACATGTGAACAGAGTGGTTTTGGCCGCAGCCGGAGAGACTTCTTCCTCAAGAAAGCAACCCTTTCATACTGCCGCTTGTGTAGGAAGGAAAAGGACGGTGAGGCGGTGCGGTGCTTCACCCTGGGAACTAGCAGGAGAAGTTCTCCTGTGGCATTTACTGCTTTATGAAAACTATCTTTTTCCCTAAAGTCAGGGGATGCACCAGTTTTCAAGGATTCACAATCTTGTCGTTAGCACTTTTGCTTCTTTAGCGGTCTTCTGGTATAATACTAAAACAAACCAAAGAACAAAACTCACTCTAATAAAATACAAGCTCAGAGCAGAGAGGGGACACTATGGTGGAGCCACATCAGAGCTATAATGGTGAAAATGTATATTTGGGCCTCAGAGCCTCAGCCCTAAAAAACTCAGACTGTATTTTTCAGGGGCATAACAAAGGTGTTACATATTGGGTTTGGAAAACTTGCAGTTCAGAGTTTGGGCTTGAAAATCTTTGCAACATCCAGAAGTACACAGCAACAGTCCCTGAGGCAGTATTACCACTATGGAAAGGGATCGTGGAGTTACAACAGACATGTTCCACAGAAATGTCATTTTCATACTCAACAACAGTGAAAAAAGGGAGTATCAGGAGAGGACTGATACCACCCTGATGCTGCATGGGGAACCCATCGTGAACACGGTATGGAAATCCATTCCCCTGTCTTAAAAAAGAAGGCATTAGAAGCAGAAATGGTTCAATGAAGGGCAGGTATGGAATGGCTTCCATTCGTGGTATCACTAAAAAGACCAGAACTTGCTAGCTGGCAAAAACGGAGGGGGAACACAACAGAAGTCTGTAAAAAAAAAAGAAAAAAAAAGAACGTAATGGCGAAAATGAGTAGGAGATGATTGTTGTCTCTTCCAACACAAGAACCAAGAGGGGGCTGTTGCAAACGAGCAGATGGTGGTTCAAAGCCAATGAACAAAGGTGGTCGTCACATAACAAGCAGCAAGTTCAGCTGTGGAACTCCCTGCCAGGGGACACCGTAAGAGCCACAAGCATGTACAAATCCATAAAGTAAATGGGCAACCTAGTGGAAGGAAAAAATCATCGGAGAATATGAAACGTGGTGACACCACACGCTGCCAAAGAACTCCTTGAGCTGCAGAGAGCTGGGAGGATGCCCCAGGGAAGTATCACTGGATGGTTAAAGGATCCCTGTGCTCCTCCCTCAGCATTCACCACTGGCAACATCTGGAGACCGGACGCTGGGCTAGACGGGCAATGGGTTTGACCTACCAAGGCTGCTCTTACGCATAGAAAGGCAGTTAAATAAGCCATGTAATGCGAACCAGGCTGCTGATAATAAATCTTTGTGGAAATCCACTTTTCACAACTTACTGCATCTCTAGACCTGATCCTACTACTGTGTGCAAGCGCTCAGACGGACCCAGCATCGAGCCCATTTGAAATCATTTGCCTTCTTATTACTGCAGGTTCCTGTAGAGAGAAAAACAGTGGCCCGGTCCAGGCCTGAGTTTCCTCTCTTTGTTACTACACTTTAAGTGAAAATGAAGTACACCATTAAACTGTTATGGTAATTTATCCTTACACTTTCTGCTCAACAGGTTTGTTTTGTTTTAAAAGTATGTTTCTGCGATACTTATAGCTACGTATATGTAATTTTGTGGTTAGAGTAGAAGAGACAGGAAAACCTTGGTTCCCACAGGAAACGTAACTCGACCTCTTGCAAGCAGGTAACATTTTTGCCGTGTCGGCGTGATAAAGAACTTCAATGAGAGACAAATCCTGCCAAGGTTTACACCTGCGTGCAACTGCCTGATGCGACTGGCTCGAGAGAGGTTAATGAGATTTTTCTATGCGATTCAGATTCTGCTGGGCGGGAACGGGGCCTGAGACAGTTCCGGCTGTCAGTAAATGATGCGTTAAAATGCCCTCGTATGAGTTTGTTGGATCTGGTTCAGGGGGCCAGGATTTGTCTCTGTGCCTGCAGAGGTCTCCGATGGGGCAGGAACGTTTTCCCTGGGGGGGGAAAGACGAAACGAGAGATTTTGCCGGTCTTCTCACCGGGGAGGGAGGGAAGGGACAATACCACCACCGCCCACCCCCGGGGCAGTGGGGTAGCTCCAACAACCCTTGCGCACCTTTTCTATTCTTATTTCCAACGAGTGCCTCGCGATACCGGTCGTGACCGCCTCACGCTGACCGTGCCCGTGTCCCCCAAGGGACTGCCGCTGCCCTTGCCCTTGCCCTTGCCCCTGCCCCTGCCCCTGCCCGGCGGCGCAGCAGAGCCCCCCCGCCCCGCCCCGCCGCGCAGCACCACGGCC